ATTAACGCATGCGTACACCTAATTGCATTTTATATTATAATAATTTTCTAATATTTTTCGTGTATATATATCTTAACGCCACCGACTCTAATGCGATATCCTTATGTACAGTCATCTGGACACTATATTAATAACAATATATATTATAATATATTATATGGTACCTACCTACTTTATATGATTCCATGGCATTTACTCGTCTTACCTAATAGATATCTCTCAAAACCACGTTTTAAAAGTGCTGATTATATTTTTCTTACAGCCTTCCCTCTTCTTATTTTATCGATAGTTTTTCATCCCGATTTAATGTAGCCCCACCTATATATTGACGCTGGACCTCCTCCCATCGAGAACCATAACAAATTGTCCCATAAGTTACAAACAACACAACAACAACAGTAAACCTACTTTCTTTATCTAAAAGGAATGTCGTGTTAAGTCCTTATAACGTGCAGTTGAACGTTTGTTGCGACAGCGTAATGCTGATAAGTTATAGCACTGTGATAGTAATATAAAATCACGTCAGAGACTGACAGTGCACATAAGTTAACCCGCGGAAATTAGTTGAAATTTTAAATTCTACCGAAGCGCGTAACTTATTCATTATTATACGATAATAATAAACCGATATAGAAAATATAAACTATCGGCATGTGTATACGCTTGGATCCGTAAGTGGTTATTATAGGTATGCAGTATAATGAATATAAATATGTGATTAAAATAAATTGAATGATTGATTGATTGCTGAGTGAAAAGAGGAGATAAAAAATGTCCTGATTCTGGCACGCCGCAGGTGTTATTTTAGTGACTTATCATTTTACGTTTAGGTACAGTACGTATCAGCATATATCTGCAGTTATACTTGTTAAAAATACCATTAAAAAGTATTTAAAATACTAATTGACTAGTTGTGCCAGTAAAAAAAAAAATAAAAAATAAAATACTAACATAATATACATTTGCAATGGTTAGTAGTAGTATTGTAAGTAGTACATTTATGTAGGCAATGCCGTACAATTACATTAAAAAAAAATCAATGTTCTAATTTTAATTTGTATTTTGTGTTTTGAAATACAAATACTAAAAACAGTACTAAAATAGTGTTTAAAATATTTATTTCTCAAAGAATATCAAACCTATTTAAAATAAAACAAAATCCAAAAAAGGTCAATACTTATTAAGTATTATTTTTAATTATATACCTATAGGTACTTAACAAGATGGCCTTCCGTAGTACACTAGTACCTATACTTATTTTAAAGTTAAACAGTGTATGTAATATCCATATATATATACACTATGTATATGTAGAATGTAAATACACCTATTGTAGAGTATTATGTTTATAAAGTCAGCAATTCTACGCAACGTATGATATAATAAGACAGTACAATATGACAGTTGGTCACAAAAAAATTTATCAAAAGAAAGTTCCTCAAAAACAATTTGACAATAACACTTTTTGACTGACAAAGTACTTTTCATCAGTAATAATACAAAATTTGTTGTACTTAGTTTCGAATGAGTTTTTTTATGTATTGTACTAAATTAAGTCATTACATTTCTGCATGTATCAATTGAAATGCTATAGAAGTCAATAATTTCCATACAAAAGTTTGCATTTTAAGTTAGTATAGTATAATAATAAATTGTTTTCTGTGATCATATTATAATTACATGTCAAACCACTTATTTAAAAAAATTCAAATGTTTTCAAATATATATCATCATTACACTATAAAAAACAGCAGTTAGGTAACTTATAACACGGCCGCTGTGACAACGTGCCATTATAATATCTGTGGCTGTATACTAATTACTAATTGGTAGATAAGATAATTGTTTTAAATTATTATCTATTGAATTCATGAAACTGAACTTGGAATTTTAAACTAAGCCAAAAATACAAGACGTATCTGACCAACTGTAATTTTGATAAATTGTGGATTTGGCCAATAAATATTTTTATGAATTCTTTTTTTGGCGGACTGTCCGGTTATAATAATAATAATGGTAAGTAATATCATCGCCTTGCTTCGTGGGTAGGTGTATTTTATAAGGTTAAAGTTCTGTAAAGTTTGATACAAATCGATTAATTGCTCTGTGGACAATTAAATTCTCAAATGTATCAATTGTAGTGTCTTTATATTGATACCAGTTCATAATTGCTTCGTTTTTCCCGATATCAGTACCTATAATATATTAATTATTTATTTATTTTATACGATAATTGTTGTTAAATTTATCTGTTTGTATACTCTGTGTAGTGTGTATTGTACGAATGTGTGAGAGTATATTATTTCTATTATTTTTTTACATATAATTTCATTTTATATTTTATTTAAAATATAAAGATATTTGTTTAATTGGATTATGATTGGGAGTTGTAGTAGGGAACAATAGCTAATAGGTTACCATTATACACTCATATGAACTAATAATATTTTGTGTATAGTATAATCACCATGTAAGTTATCATGTATTCATCTATACATACCCGTCACTCAAACTTCTAAACTTACTCAACTTTTCAGTTGCAGAAAATTAATAAATTAAGTTTAAAAATATTTACCGGATAGGCGTACCCATACTTGTTGAGACTCGTATTAAATTGTTTTTAATTTTGAATTCAACAAAATCAAAAAACCACTAAGAAAATCATATTAATTCGGCTCTTTGTACATAATATATAGGTATTACGTATACCTACAGTATAAGTTTCCAAAATTAATTAAAAACAAATAATTTATGTTGATGGAGAAAAACACGGTTTAACATCACTATCTGCGCTCTTATCTGAACCTACATTTTTGTGTTGATACCTATTCGATATTCTTACCCAACAATCACGAGTGAGAAGATATAAATAACGATTTTCTTTTGATTATATTATTATTTATTTAAAAAAATGCGTTTTTGCTGTGAACGAGAAAGTTTGATTGTCACATAGTTATACAAACGGGTTCTGTTAACGTAATATTTCTGAATTAACAAAATGATGAAATAGGAATATAGTGTACATTTATATATTATGTGTAATTTTATTTACTTAAATTAATACTCAATGGGTATTACAATTATTGTTATATATGTGATGGATACGATATGCGTTCGAGTAAATAATTTATCAAAGGTGTGACCTGGAAATTAACGAGTATTCCTGAAATGGGCCGGGCCAGGTCTCACACACGGCGACTCGATAGTTGTTGGTAAAGACGAAGTAGAATGCACGGAGGAATTTCGTTTTGGGCGGCTCGCCGTTGTTGATTCCTTCTATAATAGGATTATATATTATTATTATTACGAACTGGGCACATTCGTCAGACTAGAAAAAAAAGCGGCGCTGCGGTACTGTTGTGTCCGATCGATTAAAAAATAAATATGGAATTTATGAATGACAGTATAAAAAGGTTAACCGTTTATCGGAGCCGTATTTATATAGTGGGTAGGTATACGTGTTTCGTTGATTAAAAACTAATCGTAGCCGACAGACAATATTTTATGATTATGATGGTGTATTTTACACATCATAATTTATAGCACTTATTAATCTTTGTGAGTAAAAGCATTTTAACACAATTATTAAAAAAATAGCGTTGATCGTAAAATACTGCAGTTTCATATGATTTACGACATGATATCGACCCTAATATGACAGATACATATACATATATATAGTAAAAATGTTGAATTTCATTATTTGATAGTATTATTATTGTTAGTGGAATGAAAATGTTTTAAATTTGACAATGTTTTTTTTTCGCAGGTCTTACCCCCAAATGCGCATTGTGCGAAATAATATTATAAAGTACTATCAAATTTTTCGGCGCTTATTATTCGATTGTGATGTTTTTTATAATTTATTTATAATATGTGAAAAAAACAAGAAATAAAAAACGTCGTGTATACGTTGCATTATAAAACAAAGCACGTGTGTTTCGGGTAGTACGTGTACGTGTACATGTCTGTGCTCTGACGCAAAGATGAATTATTATCTCACGTTATAATAACATATTATTATCGTGTTAATATATTATAGAAACGTCACTCTCCGAGTACGTCTTATGTGTTTGGTGATTTTGGGTTTTCGGTGATCTCGAAACCACCCTGGCCGCTGTGGTAATTTACGGAGACCATACAATTATTGGGTAAAACCATCCTCAACGGGCCATATAGAGTGAGTAGAATCACTAGAACCCCGAAAATTAGTAACTAAGTGTTATTCCGATATATACTCGATTATAAAAAGTTACATTTTTAACTATAAATACTTATTGTAAAAAAACATGTTAATAGCAATTTATTATAAATTTTACGTACTATTGTATAAGTAATTTATTAACGAAAACGATTGTTAAAATGTAGTTAAAAGTGCCTAAATGCATCTACTCGACCGTTGGGAATATTGATAATAACTGATGAAAGATAATTTGTAATCCAATTGAAAAGTAACTTTACGTCTTCTTAACCCTTTAATGTTGCTTATTAGCATTGCTGCAGATTAAGAATACCGTTCTAGTTTTTAAAGAGGATTTTTGTGTTCAAATGGACATATGTCTGGCCACATGGATGTCGCTATTACACTGCTTGTCCAATAGAATAAAATACGTATATGGTAAAAAGTAGTATCCTATATATTTAAGAAACTATTGCCTGCAGCATTATTATATCACACTGTATACTCGTGTAAACGTATTTCGGAACTTGCAATTAATGATATTATACCTAGTGGATCAATTTTCAAGGAGGTTTTCTGTATCCAATAGAATGAATGGTAAATTAATAATAATATATATAATATTATATTATATATATACTTATACTATAAAGAAACTATTGCCTGCAGCATTATTATACCACACTGTATATTCGTGTAAACGTATTTCGGAACTTGCAACATTAATGATGTATTAAACAACAATGTTATGTTATAACACCTACGTACTTATATATTATTATAGTATCTTTTTTTATTATTTTTTTATTTCCTTATACAGACCACCGAGAGCACCACTACCGAAACGGATTCGCCAAGACCTGCGGCCGCGACGACGGCGATGGCCGCGACTGGCGCTGCGGTCGGTCACTTTTACCGCCAGTTCTCGAAAAAGAACAACAAGAAGAACAACGGCAAGAAGAACAACAGCAGCAACAACAACAACAACAGCAGCAGCAGCAGCAGCAGCAGCAGCAGCAAAAAAACACATCGTCAGGACGGGTTGCTGGCCGAGGAGGCGGCCACACCGTCGACCAACGCCCCCGCTCCCACCATCGATGTCCCAGACACCGCCACCGGCGCCGTCACTGCCGCCGCCACCTCCGAGGCTACCACCACCTCCGGACCGCACCACCCCGAGCGCGTCACGGGACAGCCGGCCACGGCCACCGTGAGTAACCCGCGGCTCCGGCCGGCGCTCGCGGCCCAAGTCGTCGACACGCCGCAGTGGCTGGTGGCCGACCACTTCGTCACCGAACACGTCGCTCACGAACACGTGTCCGTGGTTCCGGAACCCGATCACGCGGACGCGGTGGCGCCGGACGATCACGCCGCGTCGTTGCAGCCAGGCCCAGCGACGACGACGGTCTGCGGCAAATGCCCCGCGGCCGCCTCGTCGTGCGAGCACGTGAGTTGTGCACGTAATAGTAGCACGTTGTTACTTGTTATTATGTTAGTTATATAGGTATTAGTGTTACAGCGTTTAGTGGTACATATAACTACCTCCATGTGACGTGTGTCGGAGGTTGGACTGCGTGATGTTATATGGTGTATATAGATACAGGGTGCTCGTCGACTATATACCTGTACGGCAACACGCGAGTTTAGTGAAATATTTGTCGGTTTGATACAACCATATATTTGTTTTAGCCCCAAAACAAAATATTATAATTTCGTGTTAGGAGCGTGACCGTTGTATACGCGTTGTGTGAGTAAGTTGTTGTCTCAGTCAACACCAAAACGAGTTTAATCTAACCCAACTAGAAAAAGAAATTTGAAATTATATTCAAATACCAAACACTAATAAAAACTCATAATAAAATAAAAATATGGGACTGAAACTATTCGCTGGAGCACAGTTAATATTATTTTCCTCTACAATGTTTCGATAACTTGTAATTTTTCTCTAAAATCAACTATTTTAAATAAACGGTACTAAGAATCCGGTACATAGATTTGAAGTGATGTTAATACTATTAGTATTATGTATTACGGGTGTCTGAAGACAGACTTTAAAATTTCCAATTTAAAATGCTCACGGCTCTTTTAAAAATAAAAATATCAAAAAAGACCTTTCTAGGTGCACTGTGGATAATATTTTTACAATTTGATAATAGTTCTACTCACTCCGCAGACATTAAAAATAACACTGTAAAACGTATTCCTGTTAAAGTACAATTTGCTATTATGCGTTATAATAACACGGAGACAACACATGGCGAGTACGAGTCCTCTTAACATCAATAATAATATACTCTTGTTATTTAGGTACATCTTTTATGGTTAAAAGTCGAACATACGATTTTATTAATTTTACCAATGGTTTCCGTCCAGTGCATTTTTATCGCACCGAAGGTATTTAATTTTCGAATGTTGATGGTATTATGTTGTAAGTGCCCATATATTATTATATAATTATATGAATATTATTTATTAATATTTAAATATACTCACGTTATCGAGTCCTACCAGTCTATAAGTTTACATAAACATTAAATGTATAATAATAATATGTAAGTCTGACGAAATGCATATAGATTATACTATTATATATTTGTACATACCTACGCATATTGATAAATCATAAAATATGGTATGAGAGATAAAACAAGCGATAAAAAAAAATGTTAGTTTTTAAGATCTAATTGGTAGGTTGTTCCTTTTTTGATTCCAAACACTTTGCGACTTGTGAGTTTGTATATTATTATAAAAAACACTAGCTAGTTAAAAAATTATTTAATAATTTTCCGGTTTTATTGGATTTAATTATTACAGATTCCTTGTATATTTTTATTTCTAAATAGATTTTTACATAAACGTGTTACGTTAATCAGAATCATTAATATATTGACAATTTTAGTAGCATACATTCAAAGTCAAAATCCAAATTATAATTTATTTTAATTGGATGTTTGTGATCTTTTGCTAAGATAATATTTTGATAAATATTGAGGCTCATCGTTACTATTTACTATGCAGGAGAGCTTCTGCGTAAGACGTGCTGATGTTGATTTATTAAATATATAATGATTTAATATATCCTTATCGTAAAGCACAAAGTCGTGTTAAAAAACTAAAAACTGATTAGAAAAATTTAAAGGTGCACTTATCGAATTCTATTTGATGGTATGAATAATTTGTGTTGTAAGCGATGTGGAAAATGTGCGAAGTAGGAATTCTGAAAATTGTTTCGACACGTGTTGTGTATGAGAATAAACAAAAAAAAACTAATTTTCCGGTCCAGCCTATTGCATTACTTCCGGACCGACATTGCCTACACCTTGTATTCACCATTTAGTTTGTATATTATTATTATTTAGGATATAATGTTATTATATTAGAATGTGTAATACCACTGCGGGAGTAAGCGCAATTGCGTGATATGCGTAATATCCCAGACCGTCGTCGTGCGCGCCACCCTGCAGCGATATCTATTACCCCGTCCGATATAAAATAAAATCCACTAAGAAAAACTATTTTCTAAACGTTCTGCCGGAGAAAAAAAAATAGGACATAAATACACGTTTTCAACTGTCGTGTCTAATAATTAATAAACGTGAAAGTTTGATAGTAGCTGCGCTCGTTTATATAGTATAGCACCGAACCTAATTTATTTATTTATATACTATATAGCTATATCCACTATTATAATATACGTCTTACACTTGTCTTATTCTTACATTCCACATGCCTAGTCCTAGATATTATAAAATATGTAGAATAAATTACCAGGTGATTTTTTACATAAAAAACACCCATTATATCAAAACCAATAACGTTTTTGAAAATACTTTTTTTGTTCGTAGTTTTAGGTTGTTACAGAGCAATTTTTTTAGAAAAATAATTATATTTTGTAAAGTCTTCATTTTTTCTATGTATAAAAATCAAATTTTGGACGAAAAATCTTTAAGTTATAATTAATTAAAGTTTAGATGAGCTGAGTAGAGGACCAAAATTTTGCGGGATATACTTGTGGTATGTGATAATCCATTCCTCTCATCTAAACTTTATATACTTACAATTCAAAAAATTATCTTGCAAAATTTTATTTGAAATTGTTCTGTAGTGGAATAAGAAATTTAAAAACGTATATTGTCATTAAAAAAGTGAGCTATCTCGAAAATTATAATGATAAAAAATTATAAAAATGATGAATTAGTTAAAAAAAATATGTTAAAAAACGTTAATTTATTTAAATCATTCTTCGATAAAAGAATCGCCTGCTATATTTTACATTTGTTATATTATATATCACTTACATGAATGTATCTACCAGTTACTCTGTTATACTTTGCGCACAAAAAATTGCCTTCCAAATTGCTTCCTTCATAAATGTTTTTAATTTAAAAAAAAAATCAATTTCTGAGATTCAACCAAATATGAAATAATTAATATTTAAGATATAGTAATAGATGAATGTATCTATTGGAGGCGATTCTTGTAAAATATGGTCAACTGTCTTATCTATAGTAAAAAGTAATTCAATAGAAAGATATATTTTGTGATAGGGAGACGATTAGAGTAACCCTTGCAAAAAAAAAGTCATGAGTGTCAACTTGAGTTTGCCCGTTATACTGTTTATTATTTTTATTGTAATTTGATTTTCCTACCACGTTAAATTATAAAGTACCAGCAGTACCATATAATATGGTACTTCCGGTACCTACCCTGTATAACAGTGGGTAAACTATATAGTATAATATAGCGTGGTGTACATTTATTTACAATTCCAATTGGGGTTGTTAGGTACCTACATATTTAAAGTGCAGACGTTAAAACAAGTTTTTTTATTTAGGGCATTAAAGGGTTTTTCATTTGTTGATTAAGACTCGTTAAAACTATACATTTAAAATAATAAGTGAAGAAAACTCTTTTCGAACATGCTTAGCTCCCATTGTTTTCTATAAGTGATATTTTATGAGTTTGAAACGAAGGAATTAATGTACAGTGTTAGGCAAGTATTGCCTAATCACGTTCGATGTATTTAAATTGACATGACCTACTAAAACGATAAACACATCTAAATGTGACACGTGATACAAATTACCACTGCTGTATACGCATAGTAGTATGGACTTATAATATTAAATATTATAAATATTGTAAAAATTATCAATTTAATGTCAATAAAACGATATTATATTAGTGACGTAACTATAGATATCCCTTAGCAGTTGTTGCGGGGGGAGAGAGGCTCTTATAATTCTTTAAAATAATCGTTGGATTTGTGTAAAACCAATAACGCATTAGTTTTCCTACCTTGAGTAGATTGACTTCAAGGTTCACGTCAGTACTTGGTTGAACGGCACCACTATGAATTACTAATTGACAACTAAAATGATTATATACCTAAACCACGTGAATGAAAGTCGAGATGGATGGATGGATGTCAAAGCGCATCAATATAAATTGTATGTCTGTAAGCCACGATAAGGATTTGTGTTGACTGCGTATGTTTTTTACGAAGAAAATTAAAGGAAAATCGCAATAACATAACCTGGAAGCTTTTATTTTAAACAATTAAGAAGGAATCTTAGTTTAGGCTAGACACAAAATATACATCTATAAGTGATGTAAATTAAATGCTTGTAGTTATAAAAAGCGATAAACAACAAACATATAAAATACCTATTGCATGTTTTCATAAATGAATACTGTCTAATACATAAACGATGCAAAATGTATTTACGTATCTTTGAGATGGAAAGGGGAGCTCCAGCATAGAAAGCCCACCCTTTTATCCACCCCTAACATGACATAACATGTATCCTCGCATCATATACCATTGTATACATATATATACATAAATATACACAAATATATGTAAAAGTTTATAGGTACTTATAATTCTCATTACAAGCATGGATATATAGTAGATTTACTGTTATGTTTTATATGATAATTTATATAGTTTTTCCTGTCCCTTCGTATGGGAAATTAGAAACCTAAAGGCTAAAACATAAATATCTAACGTCAACCAGGACTATTATTATTTGGCGGTGGAGCCCTGCAGCCATACGGGTGGTCGAAACTTAGAAGGGGGTTCGGTAAAATCTGCAGTGAAGCGTCGCCACACACCTCCTCATCCCTTACGGCGGCCAATATATTGTAGCCACATACATTATATTATAATATTTATTATTATACACCGACAGACGGAGTAGGCGGCCATGCCGTTTGACATGCGTCGACTAAAAATACCGATTATATTATAGAGTATTACGTATTATATAATATACCACGTGCGAGTTCGCCCCACACCCACCGCCACCCGTCGGTCCCCCCCACCTCGACGGTATATGTTTCGGGAGCACCTCGGTTACGGGCCATTAAACGTTCGCTAGTCGTACCACTACCACCGTCCACCCCCTTCCCTTGCAGTGGGTTTTTGGGGTCATGTGGCCCGAC